GGGGGGGGGGGGGGTGGGTGGGGTGTGTGGGTGGGGTGGGTGGGGGGGGGGGGGGGGGGGGGGGGAACCCCTCATTTTTTTCAACCAGGTCAGTTAAGAAGCAAAAAGGGAATAGGACATCTTTGTTTTTCTTTTGTTTCACTTTTAGGTGTTTTTTGTTTTGGTTATACCTGCGCACGATCTTCTGTTAATTTTTCATTCACATTACACAGTCGTTAAGATCTACTGATCCATATATTGAACAGAGGTCGCTAAATATGTACATATATAGACTGTATATGCATGTGCACCTCATATGAGGTTCTCTTTATGACGAGGCAATTCAGCTGGGCATGTACAGTATTTTACGACCACAGTTCTCTCCGTCTACAAATATATTACTATGTACAGGGCTCCAACGGGGGGACGGGAGTAGCATACTTTGTGTAGCTGTATTGGAAAGCCACCTTCGACCATTAATATTGCCTAAATTTTTGGGTCCTCTTGGGGAGGGGTGTAACCAATCTTCGTACAGTGAAATGTTAGAGCTATATAAATCGCAGGACTATATGGTCAGTTAAGGATCCTCTCCGTGCTATTAAGTGATAGAGGCAAGGACGCTCGTAATCAACATTTAATGGTCCATGAGTGGTCGATCAACAGATTACTAGTGAAGCGAGATCCTTAAGTACTACGTGTAACAACCTTCATCCAAACCATTAATTCCTACTGTATTTTCTACATCTATGAAACGCTTACCTCCTCCCCTTCGTGATCCGACATTTTCTCCTTGTAGCCAAGAGAAAACTTCCAACGAAACAATCACAACACGGCGTCACGTCTCAGTGTGGCAAGGCTCTATGTTAACTAATGCCTTGCCCGCAGTCGATGTGGCGTCCATGGAAACGACCTAGATTCACACGTCGGTGAATGCTGTCAAAGGGCGGGTAAATATGCGCGTGCCCCTTTCGCCCTTTGTTATGATAAGGCGATGAATGGCGGCAGTGTGAGCGTGCATTGTCGCGAGATTTGCTTATCTTTCATGCGGTGCCTTAACAAACATCATGTGTACAGTTGGAAATAACGACAATGTGTGTTGTTATTGTTATTATCAGCAACTGTAGTATTCGACACAATGCAAATTATGATTTTGATGCAATAGACACTTTTCGTCAACACTGACGTGTTGAAAAGTGGGTAAATACGTTCATGGAACAGCTTAATTGATGAGCTGTCTGTCAATGAAAAGTCAATTGATTAATTTATTTAATGCTGCAAGAATTGTTTAAAATTCACTTGGCATATTTAAATTCAATTGGCCAAAGACTGAAGGATAAATGAGATAGCTATATACACACCAGGGGCGGGTCCAGGATTATTTTGAAGGGGGGGGGGGGGGGGGGGGGGTTCCGCGGATGCAAAGCCGACCATTTCCCCCCCCCCCCGTGTGGGGTTCAGGACCTGCTGAAGGGCCCCGAAAACTGTGGTATTTTAAAGGTGGAATAGTACATCATGGCACGGTTTAGAACCATGATTCATCCAGTCTAAATTCTAATTTCAAGAGGGGAATATAAGTGTGATTTTACCGTCAAAGATGAAGCAACCAATTCTTCACTGACTGACAGAGAATGGAAAGGGCACCACTATTGACACATTTGAAAGTTTTTAACTATTCCCTCTTCGTAGGGGCTTGCTTTAACTAAAACCGTCTCGGTGTGAACCGCCTTCGTTATCATTGTGCATAGTGGAAGCAAACAATTTCTCACTGACTGACATTTAAAGAAAGTCATCTATATGTAGTCCTGAACGCTTCATTGTAGGTTCTCAAACAAGGTTTAGTGGGCATGATGAACTTCAGTGTTTATGAGAAGACTTTGTTCGGGGCCTGGCGTGGCTCGGGCAGAAATGCGGCACTCCGTCTATCGATCGTAATTGCAGATGTTTACGTGTATATCCAAACTGTTCCTCTTCGTGAGAAGGTTGAAAGTTTCGTACTCCTACACGGGTTCGAGCTCGAGAATGCGACTATTTTTTTATTTTTTTTTTATTTATTTATTTTTTTTTGCCAGAAATAATTTACAAATATTGCGTTTGATTACTGTAAGGACAAACTCGTAGGTACGGAGGGTGGGCGGCACAGAAACTGCGCAGTCGGGAGCTTGCATGGATGCAAATACAAATGTAAAGTAGTCATCAACCCATGGTAACGGAGAGCCACGCGTTCAAATCCAGGATGACGCACCACAACAACGACGTCGACCAGGCCCTGGTATCGGAAAGTCACAGGAACGAATGTGGGCTCTCGTTGGACATACCAAATTACCTTTTGCAAAAATTACTTTTTGGGCAAAGCCAAAATTAATCTTAGTATAAAACTAGAAAAGCACTCTGAGAGCGCAGACCTCCGCCAAGGCAGCAAAGTCTCCACCCAATGCCGTTTCACCCCTAAATTTTCATTCTATAATGATTAAGTTTTTCGATTTTTGATTATTGATTATTGATTGATTAATGATCCAGATCACCACCAATAACTAATCATCTGTTCCCTCGTCCACTTCTGACAGTTCCTGAAAATTTCATCAAAATCGGTCGATAACTTTTTCTGTAATGTTGCTAACAGACAGACAGACAGACAGACAGATAAACTAAAGGAACCAAAAACATAACCTCCTTGGCGGAGCTAACAAACTCCAAGCTCCGTGTCGGGTTCTCAAACACGGCTTCCTGTACATCATGAACTTTACCGTTCAAGATAAACCATGGTCAGGGACTGGGGTTGCGTGGGATGAAATGCGGCACCCGGATTATTGATTGGGATAGCAGATATACACATGTACATCCAACCTGGCCCTCTCCGTGACTCGGTTGAAAGTTTCCATCTGATCATATCGTGTCAACGAAACTGTCGTGGCTGCGTGGTAATATTGCTGTCTCATAATCAGACACTCGTACGCTGGTTCGAACCCTACCAGATATTATCTCAATTTTTGCCGAAATTAATTTTTAAAATTTGCGATTGGTTACTTTAAGACGAAACCCGTACATACGGTGGTCGGTGGGTCCGTTACGGCGCAGTCGGTAGCGTGCATGGATGCAATTGAAGCAAGGCGACTCAAAGAAACGGGTTCGAATCCCGGGTGGCGCACGTCAGTCCACCACGACATCGACCTGGCTCCTGAATAGGAATGTCACGAAAACGGTTGAAAGGTCCTCCAGGTTGAAAGTTTCCATCTGATCATGACGTATCAACGAAGCTTCCATGGCTTCGTGGTAACATTGGGCTCTAGTGGGTCATAGCAAATTACCTTTTGCATAAAAATACGGCATACTTTAGAAAGTTTACTTTAAGTGACCGATTTAAAACGAACATATTGCTGGTCATTAGCATAAAGTCTGCGTAAATATTTTTTATTTCATTCACAAAACGAAGTTGATCAAAAGACTCATTTATTTTAAAATATTTTTTGTTTTGTTGCTGATATAAAGCAATACATGGATAAATAAAAATGTTTAAAATAAACAAATAAATCAACCCTCACACAAACAAATAAACAAAAAACAAACAGATAAATAAATACAATAAAAAAGATAAATAAGTAAATGAATAAATAAATAGCCTATATCGTTCAAGTCTAACTGAACAATTCAATGGCTCACCTGCAACCACTTACCAAAGTGAAAATACTTCTTAATTAAAAACAAATTCTAGCAGCACCTTAATCTGTTGTCCAGGATTAAATCAAATTGCAAACATGTAAGGCATCAAGGGTCCTGGCACACCTGCCAGGTATGATAATTTATGATAATTGACCAATAACGAGCAGTAATAACCGATAAACTAACCCTTACAGCAATGTCACCCTCGATTTACTCCGGATCCAGCATGAACAGCTGTGACAAATAGGAAACTTAAACCAATTGTCTCTAATTAAGTGATATAATTACGGATCTACCGCTGCCACCCACCACAGTTGGGGACAGCCGAAAATGTAAAAACAAGAGCGAATAAAAGGATGCCCAGATCTGATTCTCTCGCCAATATTTATGTGTAGGCAAACCAATAGAAAGGAGGGCGCATTGGAAGACTTCTGCCAACATCACTGTCGAATATTTCCACACAAGGTAATTTTTATTTTATATCTTCTTTTACCTTTTTAACAATTTGGGATGATTAAAATGAATATTTTTGTTTAAGACAAAATGTACTATACTATAGTTTAAAATATTAAGTCCGAAAAACCGACACGCCTAGCTTGAAAAGCACCAACCAGTTCGAGTGTTGTTGCAAGAAGGGTCCCAATTGGATAGTGAGCACGGAAAATAAAATCATCAATTCACAAATTACAGCGAATAAAACTTTATTCATATTTCACTGATTATGTGCGTCGAAAATAAAAAAGCACTAATCACCGGGTATAATGACTCCGTTTCACTAAGGGCGGAGAATAAAAAGTCGCATTCACGAGGCAAGGGATTGGATCGTTCATGATCACGAATGACACAAAATAAAATTAAGTTTTTTGGCATCTCAGGAAATAAAAAGTGAAAAGTGGCTTTTAAGGGCAACGAAAATACACAATGGGACCAACTGCAAGATTTATCGTTTTGGGAGAAGTCATCAGAGGGTGTTATTATAAACCATTTAAAGTATTCAAAGGGCACAATAACCGTATATACCTGTTGGGTTTCAAAAGGTACGGTGTTAATATTTACGGTTTATGACGCGTGGCAAATACATTACTATGCATTTTTTACCGCTTCCCTTTCTAGCCGGCAGCATCATATCGTGACCGTGCCACTAGGGACTTGCCACAGCTAAGATGGCGAGCCACAAAGTTCTCTCGGCTGTCTGTTTCTATATTTTTGTACAGATAGAAGTTGTTTTCTGTACAGATACTCCTGTGGTCAGAATAAACCTGGGGAAGATTGTTGGAGACAGAAGAGAGGTGGATACCGGGGCCAGTAAGTTGATGTGCGCCTTTTTTTTTGCCATATCTGTTGCCACAGATATCGTACTTCGAGGTCGTAACCTGAAAAAAAAATGCTGGGGTAGTTTAAAGTAAAATAGTAAAATGCAGATTTAAAAAATCACTGTGACTTCAGTTGGTCTTTTTAACTATAGATTTTGAAATGCACGTATACAGTGGCCGTGCACTGAAATAACTTAAATGAGAAAGACTGATCCATTCGTTTTGTGGGGATGTAGACTAATTGAGAACTGAGTGCGGCTAACCTAGATTGTGTGCATTTTTGTGTGTACGTGCGAACATGTGAGTACTTATATGCACAGGATAAAGGAGATCGTGACAGATTCGTCATTATACAAGGAAAAAGCCTATCACGGTTAATTTGAGAGAGAGAGAGAGAGACGCTTTTCCGTTTCCCGCACATACAAGAGTACTATGGTATTAACCTTCTATTGTAAAACAGAAAACAAATGAATAGGGTCAACCCTCAGTAAATGTACAGTTGTTCGACAGGATGCTTTGCTTCCCTTTGAATACCATATTGCTAAAATAGTAACTAAGAGAATAGGGCATGTTTTATGGTTTTATGCTTGGCACGTTTACCCCCTGGCATCGGCCACTGGTCATCAAATAGCTCTAATGAATACGCATGTATTTGTCGGTATAGGTATACCAAAAATAAACAAACAAAAGTTGCACCGAACTATCTCGGGGGGTGAGGGGGGAGGTAATATACACATGCTATATTTAAAAGTGTGTATTCAAAGTCTAAATCCAACTATATGCTTGTAAATTTCTAAGTGTTCATATGTTTTACAATGTATGTGCTCATCAGCTTCTTATATAGAACTCTCCACATTTTTTGATTGAGAAATATTATTCGGGAAAGGTTGATATTAAAGGTCTTCAAAATAAGAAGACTGTTTATAGGTCTACCGCCCGTGGTGCTTATCCAGACACCGGGTGAAGAAGAAAGGGAAAGGTTTAGACTCCCACCTTTGTCCTCACGCGGCCTACGGTCCTGGTTGTATAGTAAGGCGGGTTTCATATTGAAGCGGAATAAAACATACATGTACAGCCCTGTTGACTTCCTGCAGGGAGTTCCTTCGGTACAAAAAATAAAAAATAAAAATAAATAAATTAAAAAAATAAATAAATAAAAAAAAAAAAAAAAAAAAAAATAGACACATCACTGCCAGTCTGGTAACTACATCGGTGGACATGTGTGTTTGTGTGTGTTTGTGCGCGTGTTTGTGTTTGTGTGTGTGTTTATTCCTACGTGCTCGCAAGAGCTGGTTTGCGTTAGAGATGGAATGCATTGTGACTGGTGAGCTACGGTTGAGAAGGATGTTACGGTCTTTCAAAATACTCAAATCATCTTTAGTGCAATTAACATTCTTGTCATGATTTCCTGATATTTTCTCCCTATAGGCGCAGGTGTAGTTGATCGCTTCCTTGGAATACCATATGCAAAACCTCCAGTTGGGAGACTTCGATTCACCAATCCTGAGCTACACCCCGGATGGGGAGAAAGCATTCGACAAGCAAAACAATTCGGTCCTCACTGCCCGCAGCCTGACAGCTCAATTTCACTCTACGCCGTCCTAGGTCGAACAATCATCAACCTCACACGGGACGAAGATTGTCTATTTTTGAACGTGTACGTGCCACGCGGGGTTGATATCCTAAATGAGACGGGCGTTCGTCTGGCTATTCTGATTCATCTGCACGGTGGTTCCTTCAGAGCAGGGACAGGTGCGACTTTTAATGGAGACACCCTCGCACAGGACGCCGATGTGATCGTCGTCACTGTAAACTACAGGGTGGGATTCTTAGCGTTCTTCAACACAGGGACAGACGAGGCAAGAGGCAATTATGGCTTGTTCGACCAACATTTGGCAATTAAATGGGTACGAGAGAACGCTGAGGCGTTTGGCGGAGACCCTGATCGTATTACTCTTATTGGTGATTCAGCAGGAGGAGCGTCGGTGGATTTCCAGATGATCTCTCCGCTAAATCGTGGTTTGATACAGGGAGGGGTATCAGTGAGTGGGTCGAGCTTGGCACCTTGGTCTTTGACCGAGTCTTTGAACGTCAGTTTGGAGTTTTCGAAACTGGCCGGATGTGACATGCCTCAACCAAGAGCAAGACTCCGCTGTCTCCGCAATAAGGACGCTCAGGAATTGGCGGAGATAAGAGAGGAAGGGCTACGAGGAGGACTCGACTGGCGACCAAATATAGATGGAGTATTCATACCAAAACACCCACGAGAACTACTGGGAGAAAACGTGACATCCGGGCTTCGATATATGGTAGGCGCTACCTCCCATGACGGCAGTATCTACTCACTTCCGTCAGCAGGGAACCCTCCTACTGTTGCCCAGCAACGCTTCAATTTTCAAACGTATGCATCAGTCGCGTATCATTTCAATTTGGAAAGCGCTGAAATCGCTGTTGCTAGGTCCTCGCTTCATGAATACGGCCTCATCCAAGACCCCATGGATCCTTTGGATGTCCTGACCCGGGCGGTGCAACAGAGCACTGACTTTCTCTTCGGAATGCCAGCAGAGGAGTCGGCGAGACTGAACGAAGCCGGAGGTGCCACGACGTACAAATACACATTATCTGTTCGTCTTGGTTATCCTTCTTCTTTTATACCCAAGTTGCCTTTTATACGAGCCGAACATTTTGATACCCGTGTTTTGTATTTTGGTGTTTTTGAACAGCACCCAGAGGTATATAATTTGACAGCTGAGGAATTGGAACTTGGAAGAACCATCAGGCGGTATATAGCCAACTTTGCCAAAAACGGGTAAGGGATCGATTACACACGATTCAATATCAGAAATATTTTATTGCAATTCATGAAACTGATTTTAATTGTAAATGGAAATACTTGATGCCCATTAGGTTTCAGGGGCACCAATGTCCATCAATTGTCATTTAAGTGATCTGAAAAAAAATGAAGACAAGTAAGTGTGATGTGACTCTGACGTCAGAATGTAGCTTTGGGTATGATCAGTATCAATATCAATATGCAATTTTATTGTTTTGTTAATCAGCCACCACTTTCGTCTCGTTTCAGTGATCCAAATGTTGGTGACCCGGTCAGCGTCCAATGGCCGGAATATGAAGCGTCTTCCAGACAATTCATCAACCTGGACACGCCCACCACCGTGGAAACATTCGATAGGGAGCGCCAGTATCTGTTTGCTACCGAGGTACTTCCGGCCATAGTGACACTGGGTAAAGAGGCTGACACAGTGGCTGCACGTCCCCGTCAATCCCAACCATGCTCTAGGGCAGTTTGGAGAACATATAGGAGACCCAAGATCCTCAGTCGTCGGTATTTCAACTGGTTGATGAGAAATACTTAGTTATTTGTATGGAGATAATGCAGCATTCGTGTAGTGCGTGTTTGGGTATAGGCGTGGTTTTATTGGGACTACAGGTACATGCATACCTACGTGTTAGTGACTTGACGATATCGTGGTTATAGCTATATCCATTCATGTGCATGGCGATATCTATCTATTGATGGGTTCAAAGTGAGATATGCAAATGTGGGATTTTAAATAAAAGGCATTGGTCAATACATACACGCGGTTGTTTGTGTGTGACTTTACTTCAATGAAAGAGAAGTTGTTCTACGCAGTTAAAAAGGCACAGATCTCTTAAATATTATTTGTTTTCATTTCTTTTCTCAATTTAAAATATTTTTATGTTATTGTCTTTATTGATTTATTTTTCTGTACCTCATTTAGCTTGTTTTAAAACATCAAAATGAGACAGTAAAGGTAAAAAAAATTTAATGCTCAAAAAACAAAAAAATATAATTATATTAAGGAGAGAAGCATTCAGAGAGCTCCCCCTAGGAAAGTCAATTCTCATAACTATTAATAACTGATTAATCAAACCATAAATACAAAGTCAAATCATTTGATTAATGCACTGGTGGCATACCCATGGAAGAAAAAAATACAAGTCCCCTGAGAAAAATCAAAATGTTTGCAGCACATTTTTGCCAAGTTTGCAAGAATTCCTCGGATCCTTTCAAATTTTAAAACAGTACCTCATATGCTTGGCGCTAGTAGTCTGATTGCAGTGTGTGTGTGTGTGTGTGTGTGTGGGGGGTAATGGAATATATTCAAATTAATCACGTTACACCAGCCTTGACTTAAAATATTAAAATTTATGAGAAGCCAGAGGGATGGACCTAATGGTGGATGCGTGACAGGAAAGACAAAACATAGACGAACTCTGTGCCGCGACACGCTATACACACAGATATAAATGGGGTGTAAGGTGATACAGTTCATCATCATACTTTAATCAGTGAGCATATTTATGACCTATATTGAGCATTTCATCAAAACCCATCCATAGCGTTTTGAGTTTGGATGGTGATGAACGAACGAACAAACAAGCGAAGGTGAAAACAACATAACAAACGGAGGTGAAAAAGTGATGGACAGTCAAAGAGTGAGGATATTTGGGGTGGCACCCTGTATAATTAAAGACTCTGAATTTGATAAAAAAACTGGTTTCCCTTCTCCTTGTCCCTTTAAAAGGCTAGAAATGCTTGATTTTCCAAGCCCACCACAACTATCACTGTTGAGGACAGCCGAAAACATAATATAAAAGATGCCCAGAATTGGTTCGCTGGCCAATGTTTCTGTGTTACCATTGGGAAAGGCCTTCAGGCTTAATCCAACACCGCAGCCGAACATTTTCACTAAAGCTGATTGTTTTTTCACATCTAATATTACCTTCTAACAATATTGGATGATAAAATGAATCTTTGTTTTTAGGACAGAATGTAGTTAACTATATTAAAAAATAACAAGTCTGAAAATCCGACTCACCTACTGGTACCTTTGGCATGTGTGCCACGAACCAGACCGATTGTATGTAAATACAGTATTACCCCTTACAAGATTTAAGTTTTGGGAGAATTCATCAGAGAGTGGAATTATAAACAATATAAAGTTTTCAGAATAACTGTATATACCTATTGGGCTTCAATTCGTACGGCGTTAATATTTACGGCTCATTACCGGCGACGAATACATTATCAAATATTCTTTACAGCTTCACTTTCTATCCGGCAGTGCTACGTCATGATATCCGCACCTTTCGACACGTAAGCGGCTGGCTATAAAAATCAGAAACAGCAAAGATGGCGAGTAACAAAGTTCTCTCGGCTGCTTCTTTCTATATTTTGGTACAGATACAAGTGGTTTTGTGTACAGATACTCCTGTGGTCAGAACAAACCTGGGAAATATTGTTGGAGACAGAGGAGAGGTGGATACCGGTGTCAGTAAGTTGACAATTGCCACAGTTAGTTAACTTTTATGTCGTACTGTGGATGGGTTTCTCCTTAAAGATTGTAGACTGAGAAAAAATGATGAGGGCACATGTATGCTTCTTGTGCGGGTCCATACAAGAAAAACAACTAACAAGTGGGCATTTGAAAGAAAGAAATGGAGGCAAAGAGAGGGAGAAAAGGGGTAGCTAGACAAAAGGAATGTCTCTTTTCCCGCACATAGTAATAGTAATACTCCGAGTAATATTGACCATCCGTCGTTTAACAGCAAGAAAATGAAAAAATTAACTCTCAAAACATTTAACTTGCTTGTGCAAAATGTTCTGTTCCCCCTAAATACCATGTTTTATCTAATTGGAACACGGGTTATATGTCATGTTTTATGGTTTTATGTTTGGCACGTTTAACCCTCTGGCATCAGACACGAGCGATCAAATAGCTCTAAGGCAATTAAAAAATTAATGAATGCGCGTATATATGACTGTATATATATGCCAAACTATCTCACCCTTTACACTGTTAATTATCAATGTTTTTTTTTATAAATGTGTGTGTGTGTGCGCGCGCGCGCGCGTGTGTGTGAAAAATGGCACCGAACTATTTCGGGGTAATATAATTCCCGTATTTTACACTATATATTCAATCTCTGAATTAACTGCTGATATGTTTCTTATAAAGAATTAATGTATGAACATGTGTATACTACCCAGGTAATATACATATACTCAAATACCAAAAAAGTATCACCTACCGCAATTATTTGCATTGCAATGAGGGTTCCTATGGTTTTAATTTTAATACTAGAAAAGCACTCCGAGAGCGCAGACCTCCGCCAAGGCAGCGATTTTTGATTATTATTAATTATTGATCCGGATCACCACCAAAAACTAATCATTTCTTCCTTGTCCCACTTCTGGCAGTTCCTGAAAATTTCATCAAAATCGGTCCATAACTTTTTGAGTTATGTTGATGACAGACAAACAAACAGACAAACAGGGGTGAAAACATAACCCACTTGGCGTAGGTAATTCCACAACAAGTAAGCAATCGAACATCGTGTAAATTGCTGATGTGATTAGTAGACTAGCTACCTAGCGTAACAATTAAAATACCCCAAAACCAATTATTTTTAACACGCAGCTTCTAAGTGAGAGGGAAACTTTTTTACCAAAAGGTTGACATAGATTGGACTTTTGGCAAGCTGAATTGCCAGAAGATTGGGTTGTTCCATGAGAACCATTCAGATTGATAGTCAGCATCATTAACGAACAGACATATGGGCAAAATTGCCTGGGTAAGGCCGACCGAAGGAAATCACACCCAACATAAGTCATGCACGGGGTGTATTGGCTACTATGGTGTAGACAAGCTGTCGGTGGTCAGTGGGAACCTTAACACTGACCCTTGCTTCCATACTGTACAAACCACTAAAATATGGCTTTAATTTTTATATGTTTAGTCTATTTATGGGTGGTACAATAAGAAAATTCCTTATAAAAGTTGAATAAAGAACAATAGTTGATGACAGGATTTTCTGCATTACTTTACGCATTACTATAGGGGTGACACTTTTTGGTAGGAGATTATAGAACTTTCTTTTTTTTTATTGATAGACGTTTTTTGCAGTGGAATAAAACAACACTTTTGACTTCCTGCGGGGAGATTTTATGGTAAAAAACGGCTAAATTAATCACGTTTCTGCCAGTCTGGTAACATGAGCTATGAAAATGTGTTTGTGTTTGTGTGTGTGTGTGTGTGTGTTTGTTTGTTTGTTTGTTCCCACGTGTGCGCATGCACTTAGTCACGCTCGAGATGGAGTGAATTGTGACAGGTGAGCTAAGGTTGAGAAGGAATTGACGGTCTTTCAAAATACTCAAATCATCTCTAGCGCAATAAGCATTCATATCATGATTTCCTGACATTTTCTTCTATAGGTGCGGATATAGTTGATCGCTTTCTTGGAATACCATACGCAAAACCCCCAGTTGGAAGACTTCGATTCGCCAATCCCAAGAGACACCCTGGATGGGGAGAAAGCATTCGACAGGCGAAACAGTTCGGTCCCCACTGCCCGCAGCCTGACAGCTCAATTACCTTCTACGTCAACTTAGGTCGAACAATCACCAACATCAGAAGGGACGAAGATTGTCTGTTTTTGAACGTGTACGTGCCACGCGGGGTTGATATTTTACGCCAGACGGGAGTTCGCCTGGCGATTTTCATTCATTTTCACAGTGGTGCTTTCAAGGCAGGAACAGGTGCGAGTTTTAATGGAGATATCCTTGCACTCGAGTCTGATGTCGTCCTCGTCACTATAAACTACAGACTGGGCTTTCTGGGGTTCTTCAGCACAGGGACTGACGAGGCAAGGGGAAATTACGGCCTGTATGACCAGCACTGGGCTATTAAATGGGTACGGGAGAATGCTGAGGCGTTTGGCGGAGACCCTGATCGCATTACTGTTATTGGTGATTCAGCAGGAGGAGCGTCGGTGGATTATCAGATGATCTCTCCTCTAAATCGTGGTTTGATACAGGGAGGGATATCAGTTAGTGGCTCGAGCTTGGCACCTTGGTCTTTGACCGAGTCTTTGAACGTCAGTTTGGAGTTTTCAAAACTGGCCGGATGTGATATGTCTCGACCAAGAGCAAGACTTCGCTGTCTCCGCAATAAGGACGCTCAGGAATTGGCGGAGATAATGGAGGGAGGTGTACGTGGAGTACTCGACTGGAGACCAAGTATTGATGGAGTTTTCATACCTAGACAGCCGCGAGAACTCTTGAGAAAAAACGTGCCATTCGGGCTTCTATACATGGTAGGTTCTACCTCCCATGACGGCAGCATTTTCACACTTCCTTTTTCAGGAAATCCCCCTTATGTTGCACAAGAACGCACCAATCTCGAAACTTATGCATCACTGCTCTATCAATTCAAGATGAAAAGTGCGGAAGTCGCTGTTGCTAGGTCCTTGCTTCATGAATACGGCCTCATTCGAGACCCTATGGATCCTTTGGATATTTTAACTCGGGCGGTGCAGCAAAACACTGACTTTCTCTTCGGAATGCCAGCAGAGGAGTCGGCAAGATTGAACGCAGCGGGAGGTGCCACAGTGTATAAATACACATTGTCTGTTCGTCTTGGCTATCCATCTTCTTACTTATCTAAGGCTGCTTTTGTGCGAGCTGAACACTATGATACAGGCATTCTGTATTTTGGTGTTTTTGAACAGCACCCGGATATATATAACTTGACAGCTGAGGAATTGGAACTTGGAAGAACCATCAGGCGGTATTTAGCCAACTTCGCAAAAAATGGGTAAGGGTCAGATAAAATACGATTAAATATCCGAATCGAAAACGTTTCACTATAATTGAAAATCTTGTGATAATTGTTATGTAAATACTTGATGCCTATTAGGTTTCAATGGGCCCAAACTCCATCAGTTGTAATTGTAATAATAATAAATTACCTTCTTCAAAAGTATGATTGCAACGTCAGAGTGTTCTTTTGAGTATGCCCAATCTCAATGTTTTGCTAATCAGTGGACACTCTCCACCTTTCAGTGATCCAAATGTTGGTTACGCGGTCAGCGTCCAGTGGCCGGAATATACAGCGGCTTCCAGACAATTCATCAACCTAAACACACCCACCACAGTAGAAACGTTCGATAGGGAGCGCCAATATCTGTTTGCGACCGAGGTACTTCCCGCCATAGTGGCAGTGGGTAAGGAGGCTGACACGGTGGGCACACGACCTCGTCAATCCCAACCATGCTCTAGGGCAATTTGGAGAACATATCGGACACCCAGGATCCACAGTCGTCGGTATATCAACCGGTTGATGAGAAATGCCTAGTTATTTTGTATGGACATACTGCACAGGCGTGTAGTGCGTAAATGGGTATAAGCGTGGTTTTAGCGGATACCTACATGGTAGTGACTTGATGTTATCGTGGTTATACCTATATCTATGTATGTGCACGACTATAGCTATATATTGATGAGTTCATAGTCAGATATTATGAAACATACTTTGCAAATGTGGGATTTTAAATAAAAGGTTTTGGTCAATATATACATGCGTTTGTTTGTGTGTCTTTACTTCATGTTGTCATGTTGAAAGAGAAGTTGTTCTACGCAGTTAAGAAGACAAAGATCCCTTAAGTATTATTTGAATTCATTCTTTCTCCTTTTTAAATATTTTCATGTTATTGTTTTTATTGATTCATTTTCTCTACATCATTTAACTTGTTTTAAATCATAAACACGAGACAGCAAAGATGCTGGTTACTTCAAAGCTCAAAAAACAAACAAACAAAAAAATGATTATTTTAACGTGAGAAGCACTCAGCGGGTAGCACCCTGTATAATTAAAGCCTCAGAAACTGCATCCCCTTCTTTTTGTCCCTTTGAAAGGCTGGATCTGGGTTTTCCTAGCCTACCACAACTATTATTGTTGGGGACAGCCGAAAACATGATCGTATAAAAGATGCTCAGAATTCGGAAAGGCTTTCAGGCTTAACCCAACACCACACAACACCACAGCCTGGGTTTCACCTTCCTGGCTAGTTTTTCTCTGTAGTGTAGTGATATCATTATACCTTATTGCAGCAAAAAGAGAGAATACGTACGTTACGTAATCTTTTCAGGGCATTTTTGTATGATAACTTGAGGAAGCAACTGAAATCATTGAGCATAAAACACCGCCACGACACTCAGCAAGGCAGCATTGATTTCCTGTGTGAAGTGTGGAACTATTCATTGGGTCATGAGAAAAGGTCCATCTGCATGTAATAATTAAATTTATTGTCATCTGAAATGTGTTGTACCATATTCTACTTTGCAAATCGGATACCTACTAGCTTCACCGCAGACATATGTTGTGTTTTCGCCATGCACGATTTTCAAGATTTGCTAGAAATAAAGAAAGTGATTGCTCTGTCAATAAAATATTACGGTAGTCATTTCCTTGCCATTCCGTTTACTTACATATCGAAAAATCTTTACGCATCTGTCCTAACACCAACTACAAATTGTATTTATTACAATAGGTCAGCATGGGAAAACGCAGCATAACAAGCATAAAAATTTTATCATTTTCCATGTTTTTGACCCTATAATATTCTATAAGTAATTTAGAAATCAAATTTTAAGCCACTGGTTACTATTTGCGTTAAGATGAACGCAGTTGTAGGAGAATAAAAGGTCTTCCAAATTCTAGTCACCCCTTGATGCTAAAAACTCAGTATCATTATAGCTCCAAATACTGCCATGGAAATTAATGTTTAATAAGACAATTATACATTTTAATTGTAAGTAATGATAATTGCCATCAAAGCCTGCCATAACACTAGATTGTGTTGGGTTCGAGAAAGAGAAGATACGGGATGATCGGGATTGTCTCTTCTAGATGGGGTCTCTCCAGAGGAACTGCGGTCTCTCACGACACTGACCTCAAAATCGATTCCTTTGTAAGGAATCTGACGGTAAGATTTCTTTATATGAGCTTCAACTTGATCCAGGAAGTCCTCAAACAATTGGTTAGCATCACGCACACGGCGGACGCTCTGCTTGAGCGTAATTGGTACTGTAACGGTCATGTTATCTCTCTCACCAAAGGGTAGGGAGCACCACCCATCACGAAATCCTCCCTCTGTTTTGGTCTTCCACGAGCCACGTGGTGAAAAGTTAGATAAATCCACCTCTCCGAAAATCGTGAATTCAATGAGACAGAGTTCAGTTAGTTCACATGGGTTTTTAACAGGTTGTTTGGGACTGAGTTTTAAAGACAAGTTGAATTTCAAGTTCATGATGAAATCAAGGGGCAAAGAGCACCACTTTTCATCCTCTAGGCATACTTTGGTCTGCTTACAGACATCCTGAAAATGTAAACCAAATGATACAGGAGAGAAATGGTTACGCGTGATCATTTCACCAACCATGAACAGGTGTGATGTGACAGAAAGTCCCCCATGATAGAGAGTCCGGTTTCTGTTAATTTTCAAATGTAAGTCTCGCCCCATTTTGACCCCTTTACGTCAGGCTAACCCTAACCTGTGTAATTAAATGGAAGGTGGACTCTCTGTAACACTGACTCCTTGTCTCGTCACAATGGACCACTTGCTTTAACAAATTTTGTCAAATGTCACATTCGGCATTTTAGTGTCAACGTACTAAAACATTGCAAACAGGAGTGATGGGTCAATTGGAAAGCAAAAATAAAATAATAAGTAACAAGTTTCTCTGGACGTGATCCACTAGATCAAAACAAAGATAACGTTTAACACTTATTTCACATATTAGAATGGAATTAAATTCTTTAGAAGATTCATTTGAACAATTATACTTTTATACTACCGTTCAAAGTAACACCATTGTGAAAAAGACGCCCAAGAGGTTTTAGCTGAGGAATAGTACGTGCTTACCTGATCCCATCTTTCTTGGCATCGTGCGTCTCTTTGATAATCGATCAAAGCGGAAAGGCCCTGAGGTTCGAATGCCTTGCTCGCTATCTCGGCTGCTGTTTAAAGACCAATCAATAATTTGATAAAATAATAATAATAAAATAATAAAAAAAAAAAACAAAGAAAAATGTGTAAAACACAAATTGAAAATTAAAACATTGGATGTGGAGTACGGAAGAAAATATTTAATTTGTATTATCTTTTTCAAGACCCGACCAAGCATCGATGGTTCAATAACAAGGAAGCCTTTTTTCGTAAAATATCAACTGTGAACGTTAATCTAGGTTCCTTCAAAGGAGATCAAAAGTTAAAATGGCCTAAATTGGCCAAAATAATCCCTTTCCCCGTTTCTTGGATTTAAAATACTTATACAGGTACTACTGCAATAAAATTAATCACTTTGAGAGCAAAAAATCCCCATTTTGTGTCATTTACTACCCCCACGCGTTTCTGCTTTTGAGCTCTACTCTCGTTTATCGTCAATTTTAACTGTTTTTAAAAATTGGTGCGAAATGGTACTTAGCTAGCACCATAATTCTGTAAATAAATCAGATATCATTTTGGTAATGCATTGGCATGGTTGACGGCAAGGGTGTGAAATACAATCTGTTCTCCGAGTTTGCCTTACTTGTTTTACTTTTTTTTTTTAGATATTAACTTCTACTTACGATGCTACATCAAAGAAAGAGATAATTCTGCATATTTACCGACAAAACCAGAAGTAGGCTTTTCAAGAAAATTCTCAGACACCAGGCTAGTGATGATTGATGTAATTAAATAGGTGTATAAATGGTGTTGGACGGTGTTTAACTGGGTCTTCAGGCGAGGAAGATTTGTTTGAAATTGAAAACAAAAATTCCAACGACAAAAACGCTGCCCTTACGTTTATCATCTCGAAATAGTTTATTCATCTCGATGTAAGGATTTTTTATGTGACAGCACCATTTTACAACAGGACAATGTTTATTTCTGCATTATCTAAGCGGATAAGGACATACATCCCGACATATCCATCTCCTTCAATACCCAATAAATAATGACAAAAAAAATAAATAAAAAAATAAATAAATAATAGTTAAAAATTGAATTACAAAACAGACCATTTTCAGTGCATCTCATGCCAAAAATTGTATTTTGATGTTCATAAAATACTTCCAATGGTTGTACCAGTAAAATATACAACCTGATTTTTATCTAGTCATTTTATGTGCGAATGTATGTTTAGGTGTGTATTTATTTATTTCTTTTTTAAGAATCATAAAAGCAAATAGTATATCAGTATAGAGTTCATAGTATATCAGTTATATCATGGAAGATATTCAATGTATTTTTATTATTGTTCTCTGCACCATTCGAAGTAAATCTAGGTTTTGCATAACGTGTAAACAAGCGATTTTATTATAACACAAATTATAAGGATTAAAATATATACGTCACGTCCCAGGTCAGATTCCAATCTAGTCCACTTCATAAGTGGCCCAGACCCAAAATTCTTTGCATTGTTAACAGCATAGTGAGCATGTTGATTGGGAGAGTAATTTACAGGTGAGCTGCCAGTTTGTTTCTATGGCATTTGTAATTAAATAGGGGATGCAATAGATCAAGCCACATATTGTGATACTTATAGGCATGGTAAATGAAATACAGTTGTATTAACCTGGGGATAATAATAAAGATTATTGTATAAATATTTAAAGGGAAATAATTTTAAATTAAAATTTTAATACAAGATAAAAGAGATATATCAAAAAAGATTGATTAAAATATCTAGTAAAGGAATGTTTAATCAAAGATGTAGCAGGAAAAGCTAGCAATGTTTCATTTGTATAGATTATATAAAAAAACTGTCCATTTCCCCAAGAGAAAAGTGGTCATTGTAACAGTGGATTTTATTGAAGTGAAAAATATTGAGCTCAGCCTGTGTTTTTTCACAGCTGCAGCTCACCTGTAAATTACATGACCGACTTACATGCTCATTATACTATACAACGCAAATGTCCAATTGGGATAAGGTCTGGGCCACTTACAGTTAGGACGTACATTTGATTGGGATATGGCATACACCAGTTCAGGAATGGATTTATATTGAATTGACAAATAATGGTAATGACTTACAACTTATAACTGAAAGATAAAATGAGTATTTTGCAGCTTAGACGACTTACCGTTTTCATTACAGCGCTGGATGCTTGGGGTAGTATTTGGAGGCACATGGCAAAACCAACAGAATACATTTCGACCATAAGAGTGGCCATAAAGCCCTGCAAAATAAGTCACTGACACGGGTCCAGAATTACAAAGATGTACAGATTCGGTGTCATATGTGAACTGGCATCTTCCGTTGTTGGTTCCACTTTTTGGTTCGTGCCCCCCTTCAGGGCCTATGCAGGGGCGTCCTGGGTGTTGATCTGGTGTGCCAAAAAACAGCATGCAATCTGGTGTCAAATGGATCTTCTCCAAAACTCC